AAAATAGCACTGCATAGTCTTCACTGTAAAAATTAAATATACAGTCAAACCAAAACTTATTCAGACACCTTCAACATTTCTCACATTATCACAGTTTATTCGCTATAGTTTATAAATGGTAATAAAATATGACAAGAACTCAGAGTTAAACTGTGTCAGAACAAATTCAGCTTGATAATGTTAGATAACTTTGATAGAAAGGTATGTAATAGATTACAACCAACCCAAAATTCAGACAACTGTTAGTATGACAATATTTACACAGCTATCAATACTTTGTTGAACCAATTACCAAGTAATGCTTAATTTTCTTCAGTCTGTGGTGTAAAAAGGTCGCATTAGCAATTAAAGAAAAAAAAACACTTAAGCAAAACATGGTCAGGTCAAAGTGTCTGAATAATATTTGGTCCCAATTTTTTAAAATAAATTTTACTGGTAGTCCACTGTATGAAGAATTTTTGGGTATAATATGTCATTTTACTTTATTTTGCTATACTCACTTACATAAATGAACTATAGTGTCCTGTACCCACTAATAAAAAAATATCAAAAATTATATCTGGTCTCTGAATAATTTTTGGTTTGACTGTGGATTAATTATTGTTAAAACTACAAAGTAATTCAGTCAACAGCAGTGAGTGATTTTCTTTCTTTCATTTTCTTGGATTAACATTAAGGACACAGACAGCAGCTAGTAAATTCGGCGCGGTCACTTTAAGAGGCAATTAATGCGTCCATTATAATGATACACATCCATTTCTCCACTGTTTACTTTCACTTTAGACATAACCGACATTTTTTTTAGGTTACTCTCAAAGACGGGTATTTTGACATAATTTTGTATGTATTTATCGGTACAAGAGCAAGAAGAGGCAAATTCGGTGTTCAAGCACTTTGAGATGCGTCTCTCTGCGTGCGCCCTGTGCGCACAGAACACCGCGCGCGGGCGCTGAATTCAGCTCTTTCATATCTTTTTCTGTTTGCATGTTTAAACTGCGATTTGTATTTGTTATTGCATTTGTACATTTTTTAAATATTGGGTTCAGAAACCAAAAGGGTATGTATAATGTTAGTTGGTTAACTTCATTTATCGAATAGATACAGTCAAACCAAAATTTATTCAGACACCTTCAACGTTTCTCACATTATCACAGTTCATTTGCTATAGTTTAGAAAATGGTAATAAAATATGACAAGAACTCAGAGTTAAACTGTGTCAGAACAAATTCAGCTTGATAATGTTAGATAACTTTGATAGAAAGGTATGTAATAGATTACAACCAACCCAAAATTCAGACAACTGTTAGTATGACAATATTTACACAGCTATCAATACTTTGTTGAACCAATTACCAAGTAATGCTTAATTTTCTTCAGTCTGTGGTGTAAAAAGGTCGCATTAGCAATTAAAGAAAAAAAAACACTTAAGCAAAACATGGTCAGGTCAAAGTGTCTGAATAATATTTGGTCCCAATTTTTTAAAATAAATTTTACTGGTAGTCCACTGTATGAAGAATTTTTGGGTATGATATGTCACAGTTTACTTTATTTTGCTATACTCACTTACATAAATGAACTATAGTGTCCTGTACCCACTAATAAAAAAATATCAAAAATTATATCTGGTCTCTGAATAATTTTTGGTTTGACTGTGGATTAATTATTGTTAAAACTACAAAGTAATTCAGTCAACAGCAGTGAGTGATTTTCTTTCTTTCATTTTCTTGGATTAACATTAAGGACACAGACAGCAGCTAGTAAATTCGGCGCGGTCACTTTAAGAGGCAATTAATGCGTCCATTATAATGATACACATCCATTTCTCCACTGTTTACTTTCACTTTAGACATAACCGACATTTTTTTTAGGTTACTCTCAAAGACGGGTATTTTGACATAATTTTGTATGTATTTATCGGTACAAGAGCAAGAAGAGGCAAATTCGGTGTTCAAGCACTTTGAGATGCGTCTCTCTGCGTGCGCCCTGTGCGCACAGAACACCGCGCGCGGGCGCTGAATTCAGCTCTTTCATATCTTTTTCTGTTTGCATGTTTAAACTGCGATTTGTATTTGTTCGTTCAAGTGCAGGAGGACGCGAAGGAGAGCTTGGTTCGGTGTTGCTGTCCTGTCCGTGAGACGCGGCTCTCTGCGTGCGCGCTGAACACGGCGCCCGTGTACTCGGTTGAGTTTTTCCGCGTCTTGTGTTTGAATGCTTTAAACTCTTTTGAATGTTTAAATTGGCCAGGCTTAAAAACACGAGCAAATGATAAGCTTTCGTGACGATGCGCAGCCTTCAACTGTCCTGAGCGTCTTTTTAGGCTGGCCTCAGCCAGTCGGTTGAGATCGCCACCCTCCCCTCCCCTCCCCTTCAGCCGTGGGCCCCTATAATTGTCACCACCTTTCACCCCACTAGAGAGGGGCGGTCCCACTTTACCAGTATTGTCTAAAAAAATCTTGGGTTTGGTCAGAAGAGGGCCTCATGATTCAGTCTCTCCCTTGCCTTTAGTAGCCTACTTTCTAATTTTTGCTGTTGATTAAGGTAAAATATATCTAAAGCTTTCCATTAAGGTATACTGTTAGGTTATACAGAACTTTGGATTCTTATTAAAAGTGCATGAATAAGTACAATTTCCAAAAGTCACCCACTTTACCAAAAGGCCCATTCACTATATAGTATAATGCAGTGCACTGAGTATAGTCGTTTAGCACAGTTGTACTGTTCTTAAAACACACACACACACACACACACACACACACACACACTGAACTACTTTGAATGAAAAAGTTGTAAAGTTCAAAGTAAGTTAAAGAAAGAACCTCCTACAAGCTGGAAAGCGGAGCTCAGGATGTCCAGAGAGCAGACGAACACGTAGAGCAAACCCAGCAGGAGAATGAACTTCACGATGGACTTGAGGACGCGCAGAACTTTCCCCTTCGTGTCGAGATCTGCAGCGCAAACACAGACAAAGCGTGAGACGCGCGGAACTCAGCTCGCGTCCCGCGGCTCATCCGCGCTGCGCTCCTCACCTGACCACTTCACCCCGGTGTCCCGGAGCTCCGGCAGGTCCCAGGGGTCCAGCTCCTCCTCCGGCTCTGACTCTTCTGACCGCGGCTCGGGATCCGTCCCATCTTTGCGCGCGAGCTCTGCGTTTGCGGGAGAAAAGACACGCGTCTGAAGACAGAAAGAAAGCAGGAACAGAGGGGAGGAAGGAAGTGCGCCTCTGTGTGGACGTGGATTTATACGGGGCACGTACCGAGTTCCGGCGGCGGCGAGGCGGGATGAGTCTCAGGCAGCGGAGCCATTGCCTTCAGTTACAACAAACACACAAATAACATGTTACGATGCAGCCATTTCACAAGTAACATTTTCTTTTGAAGTGTATTCACTTTTGCGCCACATAAATGCTTTGCATTCTTTGTCCCAAAAGTTTGGCAAAACAAACCAGAAAAGCAAAACAAAACTACAAGCTATAAGTCAAACATCTATTTTCTTTCCTTAAAAGCATGCAGTGTTTAAAAACAGTGAACACTAAAGTAAAAAGTAACAACATACAAATAAAAGGGTTGTTTCTTATTTAAAATGATGTTTATGATATCACTGTGATATCATCAAATGACAATGATTACAAACAATGAACAATTTAAGGTGACGTAAAGTAAAAATGTTTCTCATTTAAAAAGCAGTGATTAAAAAAACAATAAACAGTACAAATTAAAAAGGAAAAAAAGTTAAATTAGTTTTCTTAGAAAGCATTGTTTAAAAACAATAACCAGTTTAAAGTAAAATAGTAAACACAGATGTACAAGTAAAAAAAAAGTAAAAAGTAACAACATACAAATAAAAGGGTTGTTTCTTATTTAAAATGATGTTTATGATATCACTGTGATATCATCAAATGACAATGATTACAAACAATGAACAATTTAAGGTGACGTAAAGTAAAACTGTTTCTCATTTAAAAAGCAGTGATTAAAAAAACAAACAGTACAAATTAAAAAGGAAAAAAAGTTAAATTAGTTTTCTTAGAAAGCATTGTTTAAAAACAATGAACAGTTTAAAGTAAAATAGTAAACACAGATGTACAAGTAAAAAAGTGTCTTTCTCATTTAGAAAGCTGTGATTAAACAAAACAAAAACTGTAATGTAAAAATGGAAAATGTAAAGGAAAAAGTATAAGTCTTGTTTCTCAGAGAGCATGCAGTGTTTAAAACAACGAACAGTTTAAAGTAAAAGCAAAGTAAAGTATAAAAGCAAATAAAAAGTACAAAGTAAAAAGTTATTTCTTTCTCATTTAAAAAGCAGTGATTGAAAACAACAAAGTTTAAAGCAAACTTTTCTTTCTTTCTTTCTTTCTTTCTTTCTGATTATTAGCTCACCTGTTTGTGTTGAACTGCCCACATGTTAATATCTCACAAATGCTCACAGATTTTTACTTATAGAAACACTAAGAAATGATCAATCTGTCAGCAGACTATTTATACGTCAATATTCAGCAATTTCCACCACACAGTTAAGCAACACTTTGATGAGAGACATAAACCTGTGCACTCCCTGACACTCATGATTCAAACTCATCAGCAGTGCTCACATCCTTACTAAGATACACCCAGACCACTAAACACAGAAACACACACTGTCTAAGAGAACTTAAAAAAGCAGCTCAAGAGCTCAAATCCGAAACAAACGCATGTATTCGTTTGTTTTTAAAATACCAAGCATGGTTTGCCAAGCACTGAGCGGCATTATTTCAGCATGATTGTCCTACCTGTGCTGTGTGCTGAGTGTGCGTGTGAGTGTGTGTGTGTGTGTGTGTTAGTCCAGTGGACGTACCTGTGGAGGAGGCGCAGGTGTCTTATATACACCTGCAGCAGGACAGTCCTGCTCGTGTCACTGATCTAAAGTCCGGAGCGGGTGGTACTACACTTCACCTCACTCGCAGCCTCAAATGTAGAACAATTATCAGCTCAAACAGAGTGATATAACCTCTAAATAACACACAGAGTGCCATGATCCTGCAGCCATGCAGACCTTGCATGCACATTCATTATTGTGGGGGAAATTTTTTTTTTGCACAATTGTATCCTGAATTTTCTGTCTGCATGTAAAACATTCAAAATATCTATTCTATTCTATTCTATTCTATTCTATTCTAGCAGAATATGAAGTTCTCATATCATGCCGTTTTCATCTGTCACTATCAGAGTATGCCCTCTATTGAAAAAGTGCACATTACAGCTGGGCTCTCAAAGCCCACCCCAACCTTTCTCTTGACTCTAGAAGACACGACAAGTCTAAATGTGTGCATGGCTGCATCTGAAACTGTTATATTACTCAGTAGGGGTCCAACATCAGCTTCATGCTTACAAACAGATTTTATAGTAAATAGCTAATAAATATCTGATACATAAATATCAAATGAAAAAGTAACAGCCTAATTTTGTCTGAAAATGCATATAATGTGCACAAAATAATTATGTATTTAGATAAAATTGAAATATGCAAAATACTTACAAAATGTAAACTCGCTGTAATAAAAAGCCACGAAGATACAATTGTTAGTTTTGCTTGGAAAATTTGGAAAAATTAAACGAGGCATGCAGAAAACAATTCTACTTTTTTTTTTCCCTAAAATCTTTTTTTTCTAAATACATATATTTCTAAAATCCATGGATGGAAAAGAAATTTAAGTTTTTATTCGTTAGTAATTGCTATATAGATTAAGTGTTAACAGAAAAGAAAAGAAAAGATTATTATATTTTATTTATTATTATCCTTTATTTAACCAGGAAAATATACAATTGAGATAAAACATCTCTTCTTTCAGGCAGTCTTGGTTCAAAATGGCAGCAACAACAAATAGTTTACAATCACACTGATACAATATAAAATACACAACATAGAATACAAGTTATTTAAAACAACCACAAGTCTCCTTTGAAACAGTTTCCAATAAAGATGAAAAAATTAAGAAAGAAAGAAAAAACATAAAATAAAACACACATACGCACACACACAAATATAATTGTGGTCTTACATAATAATATTATCTTGCTCTGAAAATGCTAAATTCTAAACATAAAATACTAAACTTACATATTTTAAATATAAGACATATTTCAAGCGTGTTGTTGATGGAGCATTTGAATTTGAATATAAAATGAATAGTTACAACAAATTATTACAGTAAACATTTAAAAACACTAAAAAAGTATAATGTCATGCAGTTATTTTTTGGTGAAGTTGTAGGTTTATTAATAATTATCCACTCTCTCTGCTGCAGTGCTTATTTTATCTTTATGAAATCAGATAAAAATGTCATATGAAAGTAAAAGGCATGTACTATACTACTCTGACTAGCTAAAAATTAAATGTAATAAACACTGTTTGTTGTTTTCACCTCCACAGTAAAATAATTCAGATAAAAGCTCAATTAGCTTATCTGTGGGTTCACTGAGTTTGTGCGGTTCAACTCCTGAACCTAAAGAGAGTGGATGATATGTAATATATCACGATCTTACTCTTAACAGGGTGAAAGGCTGATGCACATAAAACTCAAAGCTTTAAATGCTTGGAAAACATGCATCCAAGCAGTTGTATCCTTTAGTATTTAGCCATTGTGCACGTCATATGTCAGGCATGCTCTCTAAATAAACATGACCACTAGCTTATCTGTTTTCCATTTTATAAACACAGCAGAATTTTAGCTTTAAAACGGTTTTATATACTTTTTCTTTGTGATAGACTCATATTCAAGTCACAATTAGTTAGTGGTGTTTGCGAAGACAAGAATAAATAAATAAAAATCAATAAATATCATGGCGGAAAATGACATATACCTTCAATTTACAAACATTTTTTAAACTAACCAACCAACCAACTAACCAACTAACTAACTAACTAACTAACTAACTAACTAACTAACCTCCACAATGCAACGAGTCATTAAAAATACGGGTAAAACACCTGTAAGAAACCAATACAGGAAATTCCTTCAGATTAACAGTAATCGGGTCATGTTTTACTAATTTCCTTGTCCATATCACTGTTGCTCATATTTAACTCTATAAGCATTTATCTTAGGTGTATAACTCATCTCACACAGATCAGACGGCTTGATGAGGAGGGGTGCACTCCTACTTTTCAGAGTAATCCAAATTTTATTGATCATGGTGAACCATAAAATGGACTATAAAATAAAAAAGTCCCCATATACTTTAATTGAAGGAGGAATCTGAATCATATAGACATCAGAATAGTATAGAGACAGGATTGAAATTGTGACCGATGCAAAAACAAAAACTATATAGGCTATATATATATATATATATATATATATATATATACTATGTGTATATACATACACTATATAACTATATACACTATATAGTGGTTGAACATGAGTTATAATTCATTTTAGCCTAAGGGGCAGCAACTGTATATCAGAGCGCTGCCTTGTACCTAATTGCTTAGCAACTTTTATGATGACTGTTGTTCTTTATTACATATTATACTATAAATATTGTTCAATAAATGATATTTTATATAAATAATAGTAGTATTTAATAACATTAGCCCATTTGATTAGAAAAATGGTCTGTGTTAGTGATGGTGATGCACAGGGAACGTAATCAGGGAGAAACAGAACAGGTGTGGGAACTAATTAATCATCTTTCACAGACACAGGAACAGAAAGTAAAACCTGAAATCTAAGAACATTGTAACATACATAACATAAATAAAGCATAATGTGCATAGCATGAACGCACATTATTAGCAGAGTTTGCTAAGGCGAGCATCATTAGTACTACTTGGTCAGTTATATATATATATATATATATACTGTATATATATATATATTAGGGCTGGGCAAGTTAACGCGTTATTATCGCCTTAACGCATTAATTGATTAATGCCGGCAAAAATTTTATCGCGCATTAACGCAGTTTTTTTATTATTATGAAAGTCCGTTGCTCACTGGCTCTGAATACACATACAGACAAACCATGGGTCACAGGATGGGTGGGATGTTGATCAGTACTGGCTTGGGATGAGCGTCATCACGCGTCTCAACCAATGAGAGCATTTGGGGAGGGCCTAAGACTGCAGCAGCACTCACATGAAGCGCTCACGATTACATTATTTAGGCTAAGCATCACCATTCACAAACCACTGTCCACTGTTATTTTTAACAGAAAAGAATGCAACGAGCTCGTAATCAGACTTAATAAGCGGGAATCAGGACGTTTCAGATAGCACGAGAAGACAGCAGAGAAGCACTCTTGCTCAGCACAGTGGAGTGCATGGTTTTGTTAACTTTGTGGTTTATTATTTTGAGTCGTTTGGGACGCGGTAACACACAGCCCTCTCACAATGTATTGCTTTACAG